AACTTTAGATTTTCCCAGATTCTTGACCGGACACGACCTGTTATAATGAGATCACATCACAATTAGATGACAAGTTATATACAGTATATATGAAAGTAAAGTGAAAAAGTCTGAGCGCTTACAGTATGACATCGCTGCCAACCCCTGGCTTTAACGGTTCGCTCAACTGTTGGTTTAGTGTTCACAACACAATAAATTTCAAGTGTATTATTGTTGCGATGAAAATCAAATGAAAGAATTGGTTGTTATTGTAAATTAGAGACCAAAACTATACTATAATATTGTGTTTGTATGGCTTTTGTGCTTAAAAACTCACGATTTGTCCCTCGAATTCAGGCATTATTTCAGTGGTTTCGGAGTGTGTTGTTTGTGCCGGTAGTGATGGTACGAGCGCTAGTATGTGAAGGGACTGGTAGTATAAGGCTGTTAAAAGCATACCTGCAAATAGAATTGCAAATAGAATTAGTTTTTGTTACACCAAATGAATGAAAAAGAGAGCTCTTATTGGAGGCAAAAGAAGAATTATTTGTAGAGAACATGCAATAACTCATCGCTAATTGAATTCATAGTGAAGTTAGCAAAAGAGTCTTATGTCTGGGGTTTGGACTCAGCATCACATGAAGGCTCGCATCAAAGGCTCTCTCTCTCTCTCTCTCTCTCTCTCTCTCTCTCTCTCTTCATTCGCATCACAATTCTCTCAATGAAATTCATAACTTCGATACTCAATGTGTTATATATATTCTGCAATGCAGTAAAAGCACAAAATACCCGTATATAAGAAAAACGACTTCTTATTTATTCACTTCTCATGTTTTGTTTGCATTAAAATTCAAACAAAATTCAGAATCTCATCAAAACTTGCAATAAGTTTTAGCCAATTCTTAGTTCAGTTTTGGCACAAATATTATATTCATTATAATTTTGCACAAATCTAATCACAATGTTTAGTAATCATACACAACAGAAATTGATATTTTATAATTAAAAATTACTTTTATTTATTGTTTATGAGATAAATAAATTTCAATTCTTAAATTACTGACATATTATTGTATTAAATAAATAAAGTTATAATTGATTTACAATATGGATAAGAATTTCTAAATAATTCATTGATATATGTTTTGATAGCATTATATTAAGGAAGAAAAAATTGGGTGCAATGTAATGGATGGATACGGTATACACTTTTGCACTTTATATCCAAAACAGAATTACATATTTTGATATCTTATTTAAGAGTCGATGGTTTGGTTCAATTCCTTAGGAAAACATTTGGGTAACAGTTATAGCACTGGAGTGTGTATTACATAATTTAGACTCAACACAAATACGGTGAGTGCACAGCAAATAGTGGAAAGTAAGTGTATTTTAAATAATGCATTTCTCTTAACATTCACACCATTTGCCGCACAAATACTCTGTTTATTTGCCAGAAATTACAATCAATTTCTATATTTCAAACAATTATTGACAATATCAACAACACTATGCGTTTGTCATTAATGTAACATAAAATGCGGCCGAAATTGTCGTCAGAGAAAATTTGTTGCAATTGTTTTCATCTAAATTATGGCCAATAAGTTATTCTTAAGGAGGAGTTTATGCACTGCCGGGCAATACTTATGGTAAAATTGGTCTAAATTAGGCTTAAATTGGACCTTTGCGTTGGGAGAGGACATAGATGCACATAAATTATTGTGCAGAGCGTATACTTACCATACGATATACGGTAAACACACACATATCAGCTCATATCCATCGTATGCATCAATAAAATGTTTCCTAATCTACGAAACTTCTACCACTTTTAACATCGTTTTTCTTTTATACAATTTTACCAAAAGAGAAATGCTTTCAAATTCTAACCAACAGTTTATTCATTCAAAGAATAAACTCAATGCATATTATTTGTTATATATAAAACTCACTTAAAACTAAGAATTCCTAAAATCTATCTTTAAGTATTATAATAAAGTTGACTTACATTAAATAGGTAAAGTGTAAAATAACAAATACCTATTTTAAGAAATTTATATTTAAATGTTATAATTGTATAACTTTTTTAATTAATTAACAAAAATTGAGTCTTAATAAGTTGTGATTATAGAAATCATTAATATCTATCTAATTGTGTTGTATTTATTAAATTAAGAAAACATTTAAACAACAAATAATTAAAGCAATGAGTTTTACACCAAAAATGCACAATTGTAGATAAAATTTACGAATTAAATAAAATCTATATAATGTATTGTATACTTTATACTGCATAAAGAAAGTATATAATTGAGACTTAAATTTACTTAAAACACAGCACTCTATTCAGTGTTTTTTTATATGAGGGAAGAGGCGAGAGATAAGAGATTAATTTTACATAATTTTCTATTTTGACTTTAAAACAAAAAAATTATTGACAGTATATTATAATATGTAATATAAGGGAAAGTATAAGTATTTTTTTCATAGAGTAAGTAATGTTTAGGAAAAACTGTACAAAGCGTGTCATGAAATCGAAAAATATTCTAATTTTTCATAGGAATGAAAGCAGAAATGAAAACTAATGACTCCATTAAACATATAAAATAATGGCTCATATTTTCATTGAAAAACGACAATTAAATAATGGTATGAATGTTATGAATGCAGTGAATGCAAGATTTGCAACGAGAAATTGAGGCTCAGATTCGGAGCCCAAAACATTTGATGTTAATAATTGAGTCCTGAGATGTAAACGCATAGTGTTTTTTGCCAACAACTTTATAGTCATAACAATTATTATTATGATTATTAGCATAACTTTATGTATATTTCTTTAGTCACAAACACCACATATTCTGTGCATTTTGTACATAACATAAGGATTTGATTCCATTACTGTAATTAATTCAAACCAATCTATTTGAGTAACATTTATGTATAGCTCAAAGGATTTGCTAAATTTTCATTACACTATATCACCGGTCGGTCAACACATTATTCAATTAATCGCAACTCAATTATTCTGACTTTACATAAATCATAAGTTTCCCAATTTTTTCAATTATATTAATATTATATACATTTAGTTTATTAATTCTGTGCTCTTTTTGTTTCGTTTTTTAAAACAAATATTTTATCAATTTATTAATACTCTAGCATTTGCTGTAAATAAATATTCCACATAAATTTTTATTATGAAAACTTTTTTATATTAACATAATATTACTGATTAAAAACATATGTTATTATAATTTCCATGACTATTTGTGATTTGTAACAATGTATAAAGATAAAAACTAACTTAAATACAGCTATATAATGCTCACAAATCTATTGAATCATTTGATAAGAGGCTAAAAATCACACATTAATTAATTAATTACAAAAGATTTATAAATAACAGAAAAAACATTCTTAAAAAAATTTAACACAATTTTAAATTAATTTTCTAAAATCAAATTATTATAATATTTATTATTAAAGTAAATAATAGGTTTAATAAACTTTGAATAAATAACATTTACCAAAAAAAGGATATCTTAATATTCAAAGCCATGTATTGATTAAAGTCAACGTAGGATATGATAAATGTGTTGCAATTTGTTTGAAAAATATTCTGTTGAAATGCAAACTCATATGAATATAATATCCAACATATACTATATATATTGTACTGAATAAACATTATATTAATATACAGTATATTTGGCCATCAGTTAAGCATATGTGAGAGAAAATATTTTAAAATTAATAGTTTGTTTAAATTAAAAAGTTTTGTCCATTATTTTTATAATTATTTCACATATTTTGGACAAATTTTATCGACAGCTACTAAATAAATGCTTTGATTTCGCAAACTTATAAACATTAAAATTAAATTAAATGAAATTTTTAACATTTGATTTGCAAATTACAACTTGCATTGCTTTCATTATTAAAAACATAATTATATAAAGTTTTACTATTTGATAGCATTATGGTGATTTTGCATCAGCTTTTAAAAGTTTGATAAACTGTTCATTAAAAATACATTAATTATTATTTTAAATAAATAGATTCATATTAGTTTAAAATTAGATCACCAGTAATACGATATTAATCTAATGGCAAAAATATAATAGTTAAAAATTATATTAAATATATTAAAAATCTTAATTCAATGCATTTTTCATAACTTAATTCGTTTATCAAAATTATTTTCAAAGATAAGGAATACATAAATATAAGTTATTCTGTAAGCAGTTCTGCATTATATAAAAAATAATTTTTAAATCACTTATTGATAATTATTATATACAATAGAGTTAATAATGCAAATGCTATTATGATATACAGAGTAGATGTGAGATATAACAGTGTTTAATATTGATACGAAAGCTTAATACAAAAACAACAAAAATAATTCTTCTCAAAATTTTTCCAAATACTTGGATTTGAGTAAAATATTAACAAAAATGATAAAAATATTATAAGATTCTGTGAAACTTTTATATGTCTATTATATATATAGAAAAAAAAAACACTTTTTTCAAATAGGATTTCGCATTTTTATAGATGAAAAGCATTTTTATAGATGAAGATTAAACATTAGATGTGAAGAATTAACTAACATTTGATAAAACTATACTTTATTACAAACACACGAAAGAAACACAAATAAAATAAATTCTTAACTCAACTAATTTTAATTTGTTTTATTAACTATTATTATAAGTGTTCTAAGCAATGATCAAGTCCAATTGCTTAAAAATTAATTATTTAATTAATAAACTAACCATAACCTATAATAACAATAACTTATTTTCAATAAGCATAACATAATGTTTGAATATTGTTTTGTTAAAGCAATTATTAAATCAATTTTATTCTATTTATTGTGACTTTTATTTAACAACTACAGGTAATTACTATATGAGATTAACTTGATAATTTAGTAATTCATTATATGGTCTTTTCAACCACCTATATTATCATCATAATTATTATGCGACGATAATTGCATTAATAATAATAGTATAATCGAAATCTCATTACCATATAATTACTTTTCAAAACAAGTGTTCAAATGAGTGTTTATTATTAATTATTATAACGTTAATACTTAAGTTATTAAAATTTATAAAAATAATTTCATTTCACTTTTAAAATAAGTTAATTAACAAATATAAATATAACTACAATTTCATCAAAATGTTTAATTATAATCTATTATTAATTTTAACAGCAATTAGTGACAAGAATTAGAGAAATGAAATAGATTAAACAAATTAGAAAGTATAATAAAAAGTTATATATTATTATAGAAATATTGTGGACATTAAACAATAAAGTGAATTAAAGAGAATATTAAAAACAATAATTTAAAGCAATTTATTTATAAGAAGATGAAAGATATAAAAGTTATAATGAAATTGAATGCTAAGATTATTCATACCCTGAATGAGAGAATTGATTAGACTTTTCATTCTTCCACTTTTTCCCTTAAGAAGAAAAGTATAATTTAAACCATTTTTTGCAAGAATTGAGATATATTTTTGTATGAATGATATTTGTTAGCAAATCGTTTGATACGAAAGAAAAACTTTTGTCAATTCATTGAATGTCAACGAATGTGTCGACAGAGTTGTGATGAATGCAAATATCTCATCATTTAATGCGGTCTAAAGTTATTTACAATAAATTAAAGTGAGAATCGATAAGAAAAACATGTGAAATAAATGAATTATCAGATTCTCGGACGACAACTGCGATAGTAGTGGGGGTGACAGTAGTAGACAACATACGACACGTGTTTGGGTTGGCGTTGGTGTTAGTGTTTGGGCTGTTTTCAGAGGCAAAAGAGTCGGCAGAGCGTCGGCGGTGAGGGGTATACGGAGTGCGCATCCGTGGCCTCTCTCTAGTAATCCTCTTGAGATATTAGTTGCGTCCTTAACGTTAAGTATAGCTCTGTTAGAGAGATATGTTATGTTATTACAAATCGTCATATACTCTATAGTCATGCATAACGTATGGTATGATTATGTTATTGAAGAGCTGTGGCTCTTTTGGCGATGCCTTTTGCTGTGGAGTAACCAAATGTTTGATATGATATGAACGCACATCTCGTGAATATATTCATTTTTACCCCTCTATTCCCTCTATTCCCTCCTTTTTCATACATAACCGTATATATCGCTCATGAATTTTAGACTAGACGTGACTTTTTATGTGTACAATATATGGCAGTTATCCATAAGCCATGTATTACTTGAGAGCACACGTTTAGTCACAACAAATTTTTATATCTATATTCACTCTCAACTCAATTGCATGCATACCATTGCCAGAGAGTCAACAAATTGTCTCAATTAAAGTTTTAAATCGCATCCAAATGACTACTTTCAACACTAATCATACGATAAATTTCCAATTATTATCTCTATCTTTATAAATAAATGACTACACAATACATATCCACAACTCGTTTCCCATTAATAATAATATCGAAATTATATCACATCTTATTATTATTACCATAAATATGATTGTTATTATGCTTTTCCATCAAATGCTATCAATAAAACTGAAATAAACTCTTCATTGCATTTCAATGTAATGCATGTATTCGTACAGAATATTCTGCACACAATTTTAATCTAATTTTCGTTTTAAATAAACTTTTTTTGGTAAAATGCAAACAAACCTTTTATTTATATTAAATGGTAATATTCGCTACAAAAACGCAAATTTTAATTTTATTAATCGATTCATTACTTCAAATGAATGTAATTATGATTAATGAATATAATTGGTTTGTGTTTCTTGTGATGGCAACAAAAAATATTTCTCACATTTGAAAGGCATATAAATATTCATTGAATAATATATGAAATACCTTTTAGCGAAAAATACATTGTTTTTTATGACAAATAAAAGTTAAGTAAAAATCTTCGCTGAAATCAATACTAAAGAATTTGTTGAAAAAGACAAAAAAAAGTGCCCAAAACTTCAAATCTTTGATTAACAATATTTAAGCCGTAAAATAAAGTTTTCAATTTATGTTAAAATATATAATAAAATAATATTTCAATTTAGTTTCGGTTCTTTCAAAAGATATTATCATAACGTACTGTATATTAAAGTTTTTAACTTATTATACATTTTAGTCTTTATAGTAACACAATTAGAACAAAGAAAATGCAGCGAAACTCAATTGAATTCATCCCAGAGATGGCCAGCGATTTTGTATAGCACTCGCATTCTGTACGAACTACTATACTGTGCACTGCTATAGGCATTGCTTTCTAGAATAATATCTTTTAATTTACAATAATATTTCTTTAAATTGTTTTGTGAGTAAAATTAAATTAAATTTTTCATAAAATATCTTTAAAATTTTCATTAACACTAATATTTTTATTTTAAATCATTTTTCTTGTGTAAATCATATCTCTATTCTGTTATTATAAAATTTTTATAAAAATTTAGTATTTAAGTATTTTAGTAATTATGTTTTTATGTAAAAGTTTTATCGTTTACGTTACGTATGAAGTAAACTGTAACTTCCGTTTATTTAGTTAAGATTAATAAAAATAAAATTATTAACATGAATAAAAAACTTCAGTAAACCCACAAAAGTTGCATAAAATATCAATTCTTGTTGAGTTAAATTACATAATTATCGATTATCTTCTTAGCTTAAGAGTGTGGCCACAATTCCAAACATTCACATTTGAATATTATTTGTGGCATAATATTATAGAGACCGGAAATTTAGGTATAAACAATTTCTAAGAAATAATTGTTAAATGTTTTGTTTTAACTTTTGAAATCCGTTCAATATTTCATTTGTTGTTAAATTAATGTGTAATTGTCTTGATATAATTTGTAACCTTAATCATGAGTATTAGGAATTTGAAATAAAATATTGTTTAAAATCTAATGAAATGCTTATAAATCTATTTCTTTCTCAATGTGTATATAACCCATTGATTACTATATGAATAATTGGAAGTTAAACGATAATTTCTAATGAATCATTAAGATGATTAGTTATATACACTCAAACAATCTATAATGTTCCGTAGAGAAAACGCGAATAACTTTTTTACCCGGTAACTTAATTTTAATAATGTCAATTAGAAAAATGTAGCCTGATAATGTGGTAATCGATTGGTATATAATATGCCATTGTAGTTATTATAGTTATTTTTTAAAATAAATTATAAGAAAATAAATAATTTTCATTGAAAACCATTGAAAATAAATACAAATAGAGGTTAATTTCGATGTCATTTCATTATAAACAATATTACCAATTGGACAAATTTTGTTTTTGTAAAAAATTCATTATTAAGATAAAATTTTAAAAATCGAAGAAATTACTTTGTTCTATTACTAATTCTGGTCAATTTGAACTATAGTGCGTTGAAATTGATTGTGTAAATTTTAATTGGCAAGCAAATGAAATTTAGAATTTTTTGCACTTAAAACATCTGCTCTAAAAATCGGTAATTTATTTAAAGAAATCCTGAAATACGTGTCCACTTATTTATCGTTTTAAACATTTTGATATATAGAATTTTAAAATTCATCTAGTAGTTTTTAAGCTATAGAAACCCTCCGTTTCGTTAAATACAGATAATTTAAAATGAATTATGAAATAGCCATAGCATACATCCCATGTGTGAATAAAACTTCAGTATGTTTACTTTTTAAAATTATATCTAGATTAAAATTAATCGACAAAAGTATAACTTGTACAACTCAATAATTGTGCAAATAAGCCATTGTTTTTCAATGGAAATTATTTGATTTCATATAATTCACTTAGAAAAATAACTAAGATAGCTACAATGGCATATTATATACCAATCGATTACCACATTATCAGGCTACATTTTTCTAATTGACATGATTAAAATTGAGTTACCGAGTAAAAAGTTATTCGCGTTTTCCCTATATAGGTATTCAATGATTCATGGGAAATTATCGTTTAACTTCCAAAAATTCATATATCAAAGTCTATTAAAGTCGATTAAAGTCGATTAAAATGTCTATTGTATAAGAATTGCCAACTATTGTAAAACTCGAGATTTGAATAAATATATTTGTGTTTTAATAAAAGCCAAGTAATACTGAATTAGTGTTCATAAGATTCTGATCTCTAGTGATCGGGCCTTTTGGTCCAATTGCTACAATAGAAATGCAACACATAATGAATATTTCTTATTTTGTTCAACAAATGAGTTTTTATTGTTTTTTATAAATTTTATAAAAATACTTTTATCGTAAATATCATCATTTGCTATACATGTTTGCAAACATAGAATTTAATTAAAAGTTTGCGCAAACTTGTTATCTCAATCCCACTATCTCAATTGTGCATACATTTTACAATTACTGTATAATCTGTTAACATTTAGAAATTAAATCAATGAAATTTAATATTTAATTAGTTTAATATAAAATTGATTAAAATTATAGCCTTTTCTATAAAAGAGTGCATAATTTGGTCGACAATGCATTCATTTTTTATTAATATTTTCAATTCCTGTAATAAAACTTTGATTATAATAAAACACTAATTCATATGATGTAAAACATTACTGTCCAGTGCTTTTATAGCGTTGTTTAAACACAAAAAAACTGATAACAAATGGGAAAATCATTTCACAAAAAATATTTAATTTACATCATATATTATACGACGAATACTGTATAACATTTATGTTATACAATAGTTTTGTTTTATATACAAACTATTGATTGCTTATCAAATTGGGTAACTTTGATGTTTAATTAGACAAAAGTTAAGCATATATTTCTTGTTATTGTAAACTCTATTTTTAATTATTTCATTGAACTTATAGTTGGAATTAAAACCAAAAGGAAATAATTTTGATGATTGGAAATGATATAAACTAGAAAATTCTTGAGAGTAAACAAACAGTTTATTCTTAATTAGATTCCCAGCAAAAGGCATAGAGAGTGATAGAAAAGGGTTGAACTCATCGCCTACTCTTTAGAGACTGAATTCTCGGAGCTTTTATATGAGCTTTTATTGTCAACATATTTTAGTCTATGGTTTAAAATGTTGTTTCCAATCGTTATATACAGCGCTGTACACAACACTATATGGATAGAGAATATGTTAATGAAATGGCTAATTATGTTTTTATTAAAAAGTAATAATATTTTTGGAAAATTGCAAATAATTAAGAGTCAGAACCACAGAAACATTAGTCGGTTTGGGATTTGCGGTCATTTGCTCTTTCATATAGTCTTTGTGTATAATAACTAATGCCTTACTTTTTATGTAAACAATTCACGTCTCTATACCTTTGACAGTGCGCTGGAACTCAATGCTCTCTCTCTCTCTCTCTCTCTCTCTCTCTCTCTCTCTTAAAATATGTTGACAATAAAAGCTCATATAAAAGCTCCGAGAATTCAGTCTCTAAAGAGTAGGCGATGAGTTCAACCCTTTTCTCTCTCTCTCTCTCTCTCTCTCTCTCTCTCTTTCAGTAATAAAAACTTGAATTGTAAGCAACTTTTCATTAAAAGGCTCTGCAATTTGAAAGCCTCAGGTCTTTGCACATAAATGTGTTAACACTATTAGATTGGATTGCAATTAATGATGAAACTATTGAATCAACATTTGATACGAGAATATAATATATTTTAAAAACTATTCAATCAATTTATTTTTAATTAATTGAAAAGTTTTATCCGCGAATCAATTGAAATAATTGTAAGCAAAATATCCCTTTTGTGATTAGATTATAGACAAAGAGTATTACCATTCGTCTAATCATACAATCATTTATTTATTATAATATTCACTACAAAAAAGAGATATTATTATTACATTAAAGACTGACTTATTATAGACTATCGAATGGCAAAACATATTTTGATAAATTAATGAGACGTGAGTACAGGAAAGTAAAAACAATCATTCATTCATTCATTTATTATCTAATTTCTGGCGGAATGTATTCCTCGTCGACCACTGTTTTGGATTTGAGTTCAGCTATTCTTTGTTCCGCTTCAACGAAATCCATCTCATGTTTGGCGAAATTCTCAAAAAAGTATATAAATCTCGACTTTTGGTCCATTTCTTTCTTCTTCTCTTGCAATTCCTTTTTTCTCTCCTCTTTCATCAGTTCTTCAATTTGTTTATTAAGAGCTAATTCTCTGTCCTTTTCCCATGATTTGAACAGTTGTGGCATTAATTCCATGTCTTTGGCCTCCAATTCCTTTACTTCCAATAACTTCTGCGAAATCAATTCATCCAAATCTTTGTCCACTATTAGTGAGTCGCCGTTCATCACATCCAACACACTCTTTATGTCCAATAATATCTGTTTATAACTGCAGTCGTCGCCCGACTTCTCGATGGTTTCATCTATGGTTTTGATTACGTCTTTGAGGATAAGGTTTTGCTTAAGATTTTGAAAATTTCTCAATAATCGCAAACATTTATCCCATTTCTCGTACAAAACTAAACCCTTTATTTGACAACTTCTGCCCACAATGTCATCAAATTGTTTGCCGAAGAAGTAAAGGGTTTTACCGCAGATGTGGTTCACATCTCTGAGGTCAAAGTGATCGTCAAAGTATTGGTTCCTTAGATAAGGCACTCGAATATAGCGAATCTCTTCGTCGTTGTCATCGGTGGTGACCACCTCTCGATCAGTGCAAGCATTGGGATAGAGTTCACTCTCTTTGGCCAATCTTTGGATCTCTTCCGCTTCGAACCATTCCTTCCGATTCTCTTCGCACAGATATTTATGGATTGAATATAAGGCCATGCGTTGAGTGATGCCATTCCCAGAGTCCTCCTCAGCCATCAAAAGTGAGGCCAATTTTGCGGCGTTTCTATAGTTCTTCTCATCGATGAAGTGATCGAAAAGCATATTATATGAGAACTGATCGGCGAATACACCGAAACCGATGCGATCGCTAAGAATGTTAAGCAAACGATCCGTTTGTTTGAATTTAAGGAAAACTCTGCAAAAGGAGTGATGAGTGGACTCTAATGTGTGGACCGTTTCGGCCGATCGTCTCAACTGATACACCAAATGCTGTAACTCTTCCAACTGTTCCGAACGGGTGACACAATTGGCAAAGATGTCCACATCGACTGCGCTGACCCTCAGCTTCTTCTGATACCTTTGATTCAATTCATTGAAAAACGTGTCTAAATATGAAGACAATTGTGGTTACAATCAATGGTTATGACAAATGAATGGTAAGTGCATTGAGTGAAGACCTGGCGATATAGTGATGAGGAGTTTGTCGTGAAGTCTTGACTCCCACTGTCTCTCACAGGCGTACGATTGGCTCAATAGTGTCCGCACCGGCACTCCAGACACTCGGCCACCTCTCAGCAGATCCGCTGATTTAAGACACAAATGGTGTGAACGAAACACTTTGAAGACATTCATCATTCAATGCTTGCATTCATACAATGTTTTCAAACTTTCACTTGTTTTCAATGTTTAGTGAATACTAGCGAAGAGTGTCGACACCTGACGGCACACAACACTAACACAACACTCAATCATATTCTGTGATATTCTGTAAGTATTGTTCACTTTAAGCCTATATAGCCTTTACGTGAATTGATGTGATAGCTGTTAACTGGGTTACCGTCACTAACATAATACTGTATGTTATGGTGTACTATAACAGCTATACATACATGTAAACCATATTCTACACACTAACCTGTTGTCTATTTAATATAATATTAATTATTAATTTTTTATTTACTTAAAATTAAATATATTATTTAACATATAAATTATTATTAATACTTTTATTGGTTACTTTGGGTCATAAATTAATTTAGTGTTTAAATTGATGTAATTTAAAGTTGGTATAATTTAATTGATACACTTATTCTTAAATAAATTGTGGAAACATTTTAAATTCCGGTAAAATGTGATAAAATTGAGTGCAATATTATAATTGATTTTCTTCGGTCTCAATAATAGGCTCGAAGTGTTGGAAATTCTCGTAAAGAGGGGTTTCATCGATTGACTCGGCATTAGTGTCGCGAGAATTGACGCCAATATTTCTGGGATTAGTTATCGGTTTCTTTCTAACCCATGATTTTTGAAGTCGAGAGAAACGATTGGACAGATTTTTCTTTCGTAAACCGGCGTAAACTCGACTAATGTGTTGCTTTAGATAAGAAAATTATTTAATTTGAAGCAAACGATTAGATTTCCATATGTTTACCTCATTTGTGTCTTTGCTGTCTTTATTTTGATGATTGGGTTTAGTTCTTATGACTTCTTTAATGTCTGCAAATTATCACAATTTATAGCAACCATTAAATTAAATTGTTGTAACAAACTTATAAAGAATCGAAATATTTGCACTTAAATATCATTTATAAATACAATAGTTCCCTCCACATTTATATCTTCCCAAATTTTAGGAAGGAATATATTGGGAAAATACGAATCTTCCCAAAAGTGTCCAACAATAATTGTATAATTTATAAGTTATAAATTATAACCAATGAATTGTCTCATATTTGATCGGTTAAACAAATATGAATATACAGTACAGTACCGGCAAAATAGTCTTCATAGCTTTGAAGGACATCAATACCAAAGAATTCTGCCGTTTCGTCGGGAAATCTCAAGTCCGAGAAGAATATAATTACTCCAAGAAATACACAAAACAGTCCTTAAAATATAAGTCAAATTACATTTAAAAGTTAAGTTAAACGACAAAATGTGTAACATTGCAAACCATTTATAAGATTCAAATAAAAGCACCAGGCATACTGTGGCTCCAGATATACAGTACGTCCAGTGAATTCTTCAAACGGAATTCTTAATGGTATTGGATTTCTAAGCAGTGAATACAGAATATTAGCGCTTATTAGAGAGAAACCGGTCATCAGTAGGAATAGAGCGCCGTATTGTATAACCATTTGAAACAATATGTTTGCCAATAAGAATAGCGGAACCGAAA